AAATTGAACTAAACCTTTTTCGCGTAATTATAGCAGCTGAAACTAAAAATTGAAGAATTAGCGAATTTTGGGCTTTTCCAAATTGTATGGGTGTAAAAAGTTTTATGCTGCTTACTTTTTTCGATATTTTATTCGTCACGAAGTTGACTGATAGTATGAAATAAAATGAACAAATAAAAATCCAATTGTGCGCTAAATTTTTCGAAAAGGTCTTAGTACACCAATGCAATAAGTCACAGTGTACTTGGTTTGATTGACTTGGTTCTACGTATTTAGCGTTTTCACAACGAATCCGAAAGTGCAACACTTGTCGAAAACATTACACGCACAAATAATGGCGAAATTCATACGGCATTGAAAACAGTTTAGCTTACTTTTATTTGTACAACTTGTCATCCTGTCATTGGACGTATGTGTGTGGTGTGTGTTATATTCGTTCGTGCGATTCCCCTTGACTTTCGACGGCGACTATGCAGATTCGAATATTTCCCCATAAGTTTATCAGAATGTTTTTGCGGTTGTCTAGATAAAGCGTTTAATATTTGGCGGTGGATTTAACGTAGACATCTGAAATGCACACAGTTTATTTATGTTGTTGAGTCAAGTCGACAGATGTCGAAATCTCCATCTCAATAATATTGTAAAAGTTAGGACTATTTTCTTCTGATATCAAGTCAAACTTACCTCAAAAGCTTTAAACCTCGGTAAAATATTTTTTATTTTGGATATGTTACCCTGACAACTTGTTTTATTTTGGTTTTATCGCCATTTTATTTCTAGCAAAATAATGGCACTATTGTGAGTTTTAAAAAATGACATGCATGATTTTACGGTCCATTGCCATCTCCGTGTGCCATATTTTTAATGTTTTTGGTAGGTATTGAAATTTAAATAAATTAACAATCACGAGGGCAATGCCCCTTCGGCTTGGCATTGTAGAACTCTCCATAGAAATAAATATTTTACACTTAATACAGAGGACTTAACTTGGTTTTAGTTTTAGTTGGTTGGTGCGTGGGCCCAAGAAATGTCCATGCACTCAGACCTGTAGGTCCATTGTGCACACCCTCTCACCGAAGTCCTATTTCACCTAGCCTTTTCGCCTACGTCCTTCTCGGTTTAATAGCTTTGTGCGTTGAATAGTCCAGAGTCCTTTGCAAATGAAGACTTAACTTACAGAATACTAAACAATAATACATTTTAATAAAACCGATAAAATCATAAACTATTCCGAAATTGCGGTTAACACTTTTAATAAAATTTAACTTCCAGTTTAATTTCAATTAATCTATTAAATACTATGATTTTAAATTATTAATATTACAGTTTGTATTTTATAATATATATATATTTGTTTAAATTAGTTATAACTTTTAAATTTGTCAATTGCTAATATTTATTCATTTAAATTCGCTATCACTTTTAAGTTTATTAATTACTATTTATTATGTGGTTTTATGAGCGTGCACCTTCCTCGAAGAAACGTGTACTAAAATTGTTAATTATTTGAATTTGTTGAATTTAAAATTTATATATTTTAAGTTGATGCGCTTGACTGCATATTATGTGCTGATGAAATGTCTCTTGTGACCCAATTGTTTTACTCACTTCCTAAAGATGAAATTATAGAGTTTCATCAGATAACTCGCACTAAAACTTATGTTGCCGCCAAGTATGCATTAGTTTTAATGCTAAAAGGAAATAATGAAGCTTGACAACTTCCTATAGCGTACTTCTTTGTGTCTGGAAGCTGCAAAGGTATGGACTTAAGCGGTATTGTAATATTGTCGACTATAAAGACATTGAAAAATATTTCTTTAAATTTCAAAGCGTTTGTTTTTGGCCAAAAGGTCATGTAAGCCCAGAGCGCCAATATTTTATAGTTAATAACAAGGCAATTATAATGTACATATTTGATGAAATAATCAAGAAATAGGTTTCTCAAACATTATTTTGAAATTGGTGAAGAAATCGCTGATAGTACCCGTCTTCAACAATTTAATAATGAAGGTAGTAACCTCAATTTAAGATTAGCTCCTAAGCTTACTCACATACATCCTGGGCCATTGGAAAAAATACGAGTCTATTAATTAGCCGTCCAGGTGTTAAGTGAACACCTGTTTAGCCTACTCATCTAACCTACATAGCATTAATTGTATAAATAATATGGATAGAGTTTCCGGTATTTGTGTTTCGTCCTAAATTAATTGAATATTTTTGTAATGTACCTTATAAGCGTTTATGTCCAAATTTTTGTACTGTTTAATACAATTATTTATTAGATTTAGAATATTTTCATAGGCAATTTCCAAAGACAATTGCAACAAAGTACCCACAAATTATACATAAAAAAAAATCATTATTTTATTGTCTCAAGACGATGGCTGCCGCGTTTTTGGCCGATAAGTATCTCGCCCGCGTTAATGTTTTTTTCATTTGCGGATATATTAATATAGGGGGCGGTAAAAATTCAATTATACTCAACAATGATAACCCTCTGTTTTCCTCTGTTTTTATTATTATTATTATTATTATACAAAGCCATTAGCCATTCTTTTTGGGGAAAATAATAAGCCCGGGTTTAGGTATAATAATAATAATAATATTATTATTATCGTCTCATGCTCTTTCTAAACGGGCACCTTGTGTTTTTGACGTCTCCGTTATTTTATTTTACTTTTTTTTTTTTTATTATTATTTATTACAACCCCCTACCCCCTTGTTCCTCTTGTTCCTCTTTCTGGCCGGCATTTCCGCTCGGTTTTATTATTATTATACCGACGACGTGATTCGTATTTTTTTTTTCCACCGTCATATTCGCCTCCGCTATTATATATATATATATTACATTATAGTCGCCCCCGTATTATATTATATTACACGCAGAGCCGCTTTTTTTTTTTTTTTTTTTTCCACGCCGATTATCATCACTCTCCACCGTCCGCCCTTCTTCTGCTGCACCCTCCTCCACCACTCGTCGCGCCACACATCCATTACATTACATTCGCCTTTTCCTTCCCCCCAGGACCTTTATACACAGCACTGTGTACCGCCCCGCCCATTGACCAATCGTGATAGGGCGTATCGCCAAATGGGGGTGTTGTGCGGCCATTGTCGTATCGCCTTTTCTTTCTTTCTTCTGGCCTTTTCACCGGTTTTTCACGTCCAAAAGATTACCTACCACCGCCACCACCACTACTACAACAATAATCGTTAATAAAATAAAATTTATATATATATATATATATATATACATATATGTAGGTAGGTACACCACCATAATACACCCCATTTATATAATACGGCTGCGCGTGCGGGCGGTATATTATACAAGTTCCATTATATTAAATAATAAATATATAAAACCCCCTGCACCCCCTCCTCACGTCCACCAACCGTCAGGCTTATTATGAATAAAATCATCGTTTTTTTTTTTTTTTTTGTATTTTTCATCCCCCGAACAATTGAAAAAATAATTAATACAGACCTACATATTATTATTATTTTTGTCGCGCGTGTGTGTGTGTGTGTGTGTCATTCGCAGAGAAAACGCCGTTGTCTTCGTTGTATTATTATGCTAAATAATGTATTTTATATATATATAAAAAAAAATATGTACAACAAAAAAAAAAAATCCCAAAGGACGATTGTATTAAAAAATCATGACGCTTGATACGGTATAATTATTATTTTTTTTTTTTATACCATACCACAACACACGCCGCTATAATAATATATTATTGTACATGGAAACCGATATAATAATAATAATCGCTATGTTAAAGGCCGTTTTGCGCAGCACACGCCACTACGGTTTTTCTTGTGCAATTTATTTTGTTCGTCCATAGGTAAAGTATCTCTAAGTAAACATTAAAATTCGTAAACACCAGTTATGTCTAGTAAATAAGCCAGAAATTTAATTAAAAATATATAATATAATGATTGATTTATGAAATTGTACTCCTATCCTGTTATTATTCTGTTATTATCTATGTATGATTGTTGGTAATTTATCTTTTCTTATTATCAGTAGCGATTTTTCAGGTCTGCCGAGTTTAGGGTTAAACCAATCAATGATCAATGAAAAACAAAACACAATAATTGAGAAAAAAAATCAGTTTTGATACTCTTGCCCGATTGACCATAAATTCGGAATTTATCCACAGATTTTCTCTAATAGCGGCTCGTTTTCTCCAACCCCTTGTCAAAAATTAGTAACTAGCCACATGTGTGTGATTTAAATTTTTTCCGCGTTCATATTCTCCGAGCTCGCGGCTTTTAATTCAGTAAGAAAAATTAGACAAACGAAAAAATTGTTCACAAGAAAAAGATAGTGGCATCTACCCCGTATTTTTTGTTTATCATTTTGTAAACCAGTGTGTAATTGAGGCGCACAACGCTCAAACAGCTTAACCCACAATAAATCGAATTTCGTCTTTTTACGTTAAACATTTCAGAATACAATAATATTTCAAAATCAAATCGACCGAACCCTAAAAAAAAAAAAAAAAGTGTTCCACTAAATGACAGAGGTTTATTTCGTTTGAATGGCATTGGAAAAGTTTTAATTGGTTTTTTCTAATGGATTTCCGGGTCAATCTGTTTTGGAGCTGTGCGCCCCTCAATTATCAACAAGCTAAACGTGATCGCTACCACTATAACACCACAGATTAAAATTTAAAAAAACAGATGATGCACTTTGTCATTTTGCTGATAACTGAAACCCTCCTCAACTTAATGTGTGACCATTTTATCGAAATGAAATTATTGCATAAAACGTTTTATACTATGATATGTTATCAAATCATTTTTTTTTTTTTTACAATATATCGATGATAACAATCTATAAATTCAGTGATGCTCAGTTCTGAAACAATAATTTCTCTTAAAGAATTTTTTTTATTTTCTACCAGTGGTCACTCTGAGTTGAGGAAGGTTTTGGTCTGTTTAATTTTTTTAGCAATCATATTGCTCTAATCGGGAGTGGACTGGATCTGGTTTTATCTAATCTGCGATGGCACCGTGTGTTGCGGCTGAGCCGTCGTCTGTGACCTCGGTTGGTCGTTACTATTGATTTGCAAATTTATCTGCGCCGGAGACTTTGCGGCATTGCTGCAGCCGTCTTTGACTAGCGTCCCACTGGCACTCTGGTTGGCGTTGTTGGTACCCTTGTTGGCCGCGCCACCGGATTGGTTGTTGTTGTTGTTGTTGTTGTTGGTAGTGCCGCCACTGGGAATCGTAGTGTTGACGTCGCTCAGGTCCGGGTTGGGATTTTGCCGGGTGGGCAACGTTTGCTGGCGCGAACCCGTGCCGGCCGCGAGCAGTTCCCGCTCCTTGGTGTTCCTCCACTTCATCCTCCGGTTCTGGAACCATATCTTCACCTGCGAGTCCTTGAGCGCCAGCTTGTCGGCCAGTCTTTTCCTGTCGGGTTTGCTGATGTACTTCTGCAGCTGAAACCGCCGTTCCAGGCCTTTGCGCTGCTGATCCGAGAACACCGCGCGGCGCATCATGCCCCTCCTGGGTTTGCCGCGGGACGTGGGCGCGCCGATCCCGGCACCGCCGTTCAGATGGCCGGGATGCGGCACGGCGCCGTGGCCGTGATGCAAGTGGCCGCCGCCCTGTATGTGATGATGGTGTTGATGCGACTGATGGTGGACCGAGTGTATGTGGTGCAACGCCGCGGCCGTGGAATTCTGGATGTGTTGGTGCAGCGAGGGCGACTGGTGGTGACCGCCGCCGCCGCCGCCGTGGCTCTGCATGTGAGCGTGCAGGCTGAGTGCCCCGAGTACACCGTTCGTACCCCTGTTCCCGGCTCTGGCCACGGCCGCCGATCCCGCGGGTTGCGGTGGCGTTATCAGGGAATTCAAATGGGCCGCGGTCATCATGGACGCACCCCCGTCGTTCGCGGATCGACCAGCACTGTCCCCGTAAACGTTAGTGGCGGCATCTCCGGCGGTGACGGCCCAGGGGAATCCGCCGATCCTGCTGTTATGCATCAGCATGTCCTGGTGACGATAATGAACTGCGAATCCGTTGTTGGGGGCCGTCGGTTGTGGCGGTGTCGCGGTTCCTCTGCTATTTGCCGTTTGTCTCCCTGCAAAAACGACAACCATTAGCAAATTATTTACAAGATAATGTTGTAGCGCCGCAACAACATGGATTCCTCTGATAGAGTAAACCACGCTTTGTTAATCAATAAACTGTAGGAAATTGGCTTTGCCTATCCCCTATTATCGTGGTTTATTTTTTTGCTAGGTCATCGAATCATACTTGTTCAATAAAACAATTTTATAAGCGTAATTTCTGGAGTTCCTCAAGGCGATCACCTCTCTCCTCTCCTATTTAATTTATTTATAAATGATGCTGTGTCCTCCATTACACACTCCAATCTCCAACATTCCATTATTTGCTGACGATGCAAAAATGTACAAATCTATTTCTTCCCTTGATGATATTAAACTCCTTCGAAGTGATTTAGCTGCATTTAACGAATGGTGCATTTCAAATGGCCTTTCATTGAATATCGACAAATGTCAAATTGTAACTTACTCCAAAAAGCACAATCCCTCTCATTTTAATTATAATATATGTGACATTAACTTACATCGCCTTTGATTAAATATTTAGGTATTTTATTTGATTCTAAACTATTATTCAATGCTCAGCGATAAAAAATAAAGCCTTAGCCGTATTTGGTATGATAAGAAGAAACTTCTCCAATCATCCGCTCTCAAATGTCTATATACCTTACTAGTCCGTTCCTTATTAGAATACGCTCCATTAATTTGGGACCACAACAATGCAGGACATAATGATCAATGAAAAAGGACAAAATAAAGTCCTCAGATTTATACGTCATAAATGTAATATTCAAAGAATATTGTAAAGTATGAACCACTACAAGTGTCGTACAGAGAAGAGTGAAAAATTCCGGATGGAAAAAGGCCACGTGGTCGCCCTCGGAAGTGGTGGACTGATGTTGTGGGAAAATATTTGTAAGATCTGGGAATGCGGATTAGGAGAGAGATAAGTGAAATGATTTGGTTATGGTGGCGAAAAATCTTGGAGAGTATTAAAAGTCGGAATATGAAAAAATCAGGTGCAGCGTTTTAGAAGTGGTGACATGGCTAAGCAAGGTGAAACTCTTTTCACCACTGCTATTTATTATTGTGCTAGAGAAAATTATACGGAGCAAACAAAATTAATATATTCAATTTTTGCTGTTGGCTTGAATATAACTGGTAATGATAAAGAGAGTATAATTCAAAACACCTCATCTCTTATCATTGAAGAAAAATACATAGGGCTGCCTGTGAATGGTAATAAAACCAAAGTAATGGCACTGATACCAAACAGTTACCGTGACAATAATGTAGTAATTCAAGGACATACATTTGAAAAAGTTACCCAATTTACAGTAAATTTGTATGTAAATATCATTAAAATATGTGTTTAAGTTTTGAGGTGAAACTTGCAAGGAATTTGCGGCCTACAACAAACCGAGCAATCTATGCTTCAAGCCAAACCAAATTAAATATATAAAGTATAATATACAGGGTAATCAATAATTGTAGTTTTACTTTTTGCCAACATTTATGTTATTCTACAATATTCGAATGTTTATCTCTTTATTTTTAATTAAAAATGTTAGTTAAGTATACCACACGTGACCATTTAAGTTTTACCAGTCGACGGAGCTCTAGAAAAAACATAAAAATAAAAAATTGTCCAATACTTTAAAACACCGTAAACTTACGTTGTTTTAAGAGAAAGTGAGTATCTACGTTGAAGTGATTACCCTGTTGGCATAATTTTCGGCTGCAATAATTGGCACAACTCAATTCAGTTGGACGATATTTTTGTGAAAAAAGTGTCAAGTCGCTTTTTGGCTTTTTTGACATTATACGTTAAAACCGTAGAAATGTTTTTATCGTCTCCCGAAAAATCTATACTTTTGACCTTTGTTCTTATGTTCCTTCAATAGCTGCTAACGGTAGTGTTTAACATCGTATAGGTGTACACGCCTATACGATTTCTTTCGAATGTGACTTAGTGAACGTTGTTCCGGTCTCCCCCACCCCCAAAAAAAAAAAAATAATATTCCCAATGATTTTGACCGTGTTTTCTGGACCACCGTGCGGCGGCAGCATCTGCGACGCATCTGTTACTGATTTTTATTATTATCGTTTATCATTATTAAACGCGAAATCACACGTGTATAATATTATTAACTTGCGTCGCTCTCTGTCTCTTTCGATCTCGGTTGTGCGGCCTTTATTGTATTGTTATTATCATTATGCACCGGATACTGGCGCGTTCGTCTCCAATATGTCACCGCCGTGGCGAATGAATTTAATTATTCTTCAACGGCCCCCTTAACGCTAATCGGTCATGTTTGGAGTGTATATGACTGAAGAATAAGTCTGCGTATAATGTATATATTAATTTACCAAAGGCGAGGGGACCCCACAACGTTAGTAGTGCACAGCGTGCGTTTGACAGGACACATATATATATATATACACATACATACATTATACACGGGGGAGAGAAAGAACGGCTAAACTGCTCTTCATCCGTTTATCCGCAACGTAAACAACATGGTTATATTATTTCTTATTTGTCTTGGTTTTTTTTTATATTTTTGTCACGTCAATCCCTTACACGTTTATTTGTACAAAACGACCACCGTTCGATCGAATATAAAAAAAAAACCCTTCTCATTTTCATACAGTTGTCAAGGAATAATATTGTAAATGTAAAATCTCAATAAAAAAAATATTTAATTTTTTTTATTATCTTATTTTTATAATATTATTTTATTTAGCACTTTTCCGTTCGTATATATTTATTAATAATACATTAATAAAACATTTTAAAAAGTATATTGTTCAATTAAACCGTACAATATTTACACGTTTTTTAAGAAAATAAGAACATAACTAGAGCCATAAAAGTGATTGATTTATCTTTAGCGTGTAAGAAAATTTTGCAAGGTTCCTTTTAACACATTCATTATTAATGTGAGAAATGTAAAAGCGTTTGTACGACGTTTCAACTGAAATGCGTGTAATGATATTTATAATTATATATATATTAATCGAAAACCGAATAATTATGGATAACAGCTAAATTAGTGGTGTTTAAAAAATTATAGTCATTGGAAAATAGTTAGGTTAACAATAGCTGGAAAAAAGGTTACATGATCAGTATACAACTAATACTTTATAAGTGATATGATGTATTTATCAAAAATTGGACCTATTTACCATGGTAAACATTTATTTTACATTTTTTTGTGATATGTTTATGACTATATTATACTAAATTATTTTTTAAGTTTAATTCTTTACCATTATAATTTAAAAAAACAAAAAAAAACCATACGAGTTTTAAAGTTATAACATTTACTGGTTATAATTTGTTATGCCTCCACACGTCAGTAAGTGGAAATTTGTCAGTAGTTAGAACTCATATGTGGATACATGACATATTGAACAAAGAAAAAATTCGGGACTACAATTTTTTAATTTTTATGTACTAGTTAAATCGTACGCAATCGGGTTCTACACAATTTTTTTTTTATTTTTCTAAAAGGTCGTCAATAAGACCATTTATTTATTTTTAGATAATTATGTAAAGAAAATATTTTATACCATATTAATATCGGGATTTTATTGATAAGATTGGCGTTTGGTAACTAGTGTGAAGATAGTTAAGCTTAGCTTTTTTAAAAAAAATAATAATAATAATAATGAGAGTAAAACCCCTTCTTTGTGTATTTAAATTGTACGCATTGAAATTGTATTTTTTACAACAAAATATAATAGGATATGTATTTTTTTAAACTATTATATTAACAGTCACGGACTAAAACCGTTTTGACACAAAACTCATATCATTATCAACATGACTGTCGGTTATTATTTTCAAACCAATGTTTTTAGTGTTATACACAACAATAATGATCAATCTTATTATCAAAATTGCAAGTTAATTATTTGTGTGTTTTGTTTTTTGATATTTAGGTACATGTTTATTGTTTAAAAAAGTTATTGAAACTTGTATTACGATATAGAAATTTCGTTTTTGTTTCTTAAAGTCATAAGCTAAATATTTTTAAGTTGATGTATTAATTACATATACATTTATTACTAGATATTGATTTTTATAAAAAGATTCCGAATCAATGATACTTAAATACTTATAGTTATTATATTTTTTTAATTTGAATTATTTAAGTGTGATATTATTTGAAATATATTTTTTTTTGTTATAAGTATTAAAACCTAGTCCTTTAGTTAAAGGGTTTTATTAAATTATATAATTAATTATTGTTCGTTAGGATTATGTGCCCATGTTGCTAAAATGTAGAGTTATTATTTTAAAATTGATATGATAATTACTACTATCGTTAATGAGTTAGTAAATCTAATTAATTTTATATACAAATGTACAATTAGGTGATGTTAAATAACATCATGATTTGAGTGCTTTTATGGGTTCAATATGTATTGTTTTTTTATGCTAGGTCGGTATTACTAACGTGAAAAAAATTTCTCACTGGTATGACATTTGATTTATTTTGTTTTTCAAAAAAAAAAGGTTTCGTCTAGTATTTGATTTGTGATTTTTCTGTCGAATGTTTGCCGAAATCGGCTCCCCCCAAAACACACAGAACCTATTGGCACGTATTATAACCATCTGGACGGAATGACTTGGCTTTTGAGAACCAAAAACGTTCTGAAGGATATAACTCTACTAATCCAATAGCATATGTTTTTTTTTTTTTATTGGCCTCCCCTAATTTTTTTCGGTTCTTAGATCCGTCCCATGTCTCGGGAGGAGGGAATGTGGGGGAGGGGGGGGGGTTGGACAAGAC